ATAATCCCAGGCGACAGCAGGATTGAAGAGAAACAACTGGAAAAGCTGACATGATGTGAGGATTTAAAGATCAAACAACAAAGACTCTGGTATAAACCAGTAAAGGTGGTAACAGCAGTGATTGGCACACTGGGTGCAGTGCCTAAAGACCTTGGCCTGCACTTAAACACAATCGGCACTGACAAAATTACCAGCTGCCAGCTGCAAAAGGCCACCTCACTGGGATCTGCACATTTTATTCGCCGATGCATCACACGGTCCTAGACACTTGGGAAGCGTCCGACGTGTGATCCAGTACAACAGCCAGCAGAGTGATCTTGTTTGCTGTGGACTCATCTTGTTGTGTTTCAAATAACAACAACAACAACAACAGAATTGGAAGAGACCACATGGGCCATCAATTCCAAGCCTTTTCTTCGGGGGGAAAAAAACGATCAAACCCACCTCAACAGATGGCCATCCAGCCTCTGTTTCAAAGCCTCCAAGAAGGAGTCTGAGGTTAGAGGAGAAATGTCCCAAGAGAGGCCAGGCCTGGTTGGCTTTGCTAATGAGGAGGTTTGACTGAGCCCCTCCTTATTTTAATCCCTGTGAAAGGCCGAGTTGGAGTATCCCTTTGACCACTGGGGGGCGACAGCATCATTTCTTCATTTGCTTCTGGGTCGAAGCACTTCCTCTGGGCGCAGGCTTTGGTTCCCCACGGGGAGGATCTGTGAAACAAAACAAGAGAAAAGCAAGTCCCCGCCAGATCCTGCTCGACTCCCAATGGCAGTTCCAACTCTAGGATTCTCTCTATCTATCTATCTATCTATCTATCTATCTATCTATCTCCATCTTAAGGCGTTGGGCTGGATGGCCTTTAGGGATCCCTTCCAACTCTAGGATTCTATCTATCTGTCTCTGTTTATCTATTTTTCCTGCCTTGCAGATGGGCCGAGCCTCCAGGACTCATGCGAGAAGGAGCATGGACCCCCAGCACCACAACTGTACCTCTGCCTAGCTGCAGTTACAGAATAGATTCCAAATTCTCACACAACTATCACTTGACCAAGAAACACAACATAGTGGGGAAGACAAAAATGGCTTAGATATTGATCAGTGGCTCGTCCTTGATGAGTGTGTGGGGGATAGCCCTGACTGGGACAACACTTCACAACATTCACCCTTACACAATCACTTTTTCCACTTCTTGTGCATGTGTCTTTTGTGTTTTGGCACACTTAGAAGTTCTTTGGACATCCATTCTGGCTTCTTTGCACTTGTCCTATATTTTCTCTTTGTTGGCACAGTTTGCAATTGCGCCTTGAGTATTTCACTCTTGAGAAATTCCCATCCATCCGTAACTCCCTTGTCTTTTAGTATCTGTGTCCACGGAATGCTGCTCAGTGTTTCCTTCATTTTTTGGAAATCAGCTCTCCTAAAGTCCAAAATGGGGTTTGACTTGTCTTAGTTTCGGCCTTCCTTTGTACCTCAAATTGCAGGAGCACATGGTCACTTGCCCCTAAGGATTCTACCACTTCGACCGCATCGATCAGGTCCTCCGCATTTGTTAGGATGAGATCAAGAGTAGCCAATCCCCTTGTTGCCTCTTCTACCTTCTGGACCATGAAATTGTCTGCAAGGCAAGCGAGGAATTTGTTGGACCTTGTACTCTTGGCCGAGTTTGTTTTCCAGCAAATATCGGGATAGTTGAAATCGCCCATGACTACTACATCTCTTCTCTGTGCCTGTTTTGTCAACTGTTGGCAGAAGACTTCATTAAGTTCTTCCTCCTGGCTTGGAGGTCTGTAGTAGACGCCTACAATGACATGTTTTTGAGTCCCAGTTCCCTCGATTCTTATCCAGATGCTTTCAAGTTGGTTTCCCAGATTGCTCTCTTGCATCTCTTCTGCAGCGTAACAGTTTTTGACATATAAGGTTACTCCGCCTCCTTTCCCCTTTGTTCGGTTTCTGTGAAAGAGGTTATAGCCCTCCAAGTCTACATTCCAGCGATAGGAGTCATCCCACCAGGTTTCAGTGATGCCTATGATATCATATTTGTGGTGTTGCGCTAAAGGTTGGAGTTCATCTTGTTTATTTCCCATGCTCTGTGCATTAGTGTAAAGACATGTGAGCCCCTGAGATCTTCTCCCAAGCTGTTTAATTGGGATTATTGTGCTTTTGGTACTTGGTCCTCGTTGTGTTTTTGCAGCCCTCCATTTAGCCTTCTGCCAGTTCCCTGACATTGTGGGTAAAGTAGTGTTCGCAAGGCTGTTGTCCCCCTCCCCCAGTGGACCTAGTTTAAAGTGCGTCTAATGAGGTTTGCGAGTCTGTGAGCAAAAAGGTGTTTTCCTACTTGTGTGAGATGCACCCCATCCCTTGCCAGTAGGCCATCCTCCTGGAAAAGCAGGCCATGGTCGAGGAAGCAAAGCATTCCTCCTGACACCATTTTCTAAGCCAGTTATTGACCTGTACTATTTTTCTGGCCCTTGTAGGACCGTGTCTTACAACTGGGAGGAGGGATGAAAAGACCACCTGTACATTACATTGTTTTAGCTTTGTTCCAAGAGCTCGAAAATCATTTATGATTGTTTGAAAAGTATGCCTATCAGTATCATTGGTTCCTACATGAATCAACATGAAGGGAGGACAGTGATGGGGCTTGAGGAGCCTGGTGAGCCTCTGAGTGATATGGTGTATTTTTGCCCCCAGTAGTCAGCATATTTCTCGAGCCATCCCATCTGGTCTGGAAATGACGGTTTTGTTCCTCTAAGGAGGGAGTTGCCCACTACTAAGACCTATTTGATTTCAGGATTGACAGGGTCCCTTTTGTGCAATGTAGTGTGTAGGTCCCCAGAAAAGTGATCCTGTTGATGTGAATTGTGTAGGTGTAAAGTGTTGTTCTCCTCCTCGACATCCCCGGTGCATTTGTCAAGGACAATCCATTGAGATTCGTCCAAGAGCCTATCGTTCTCCTGTATGTGTTCCTGTTGCACCTGGTCTATGGCTGGGGATGGTACACCGGCGTTATTGTATAAGGGTGAATGTTGTGAAGTGTTGTCCCAGCCAGGGCTATGCCCCGCACACTGATCAAGGATGAGCCACTGATCAGTATCCAAGCCATTTTGGTTTTCCCCAGTATGTTGTATTTCTTGGTCAAGTGATAGCTGTGTGAGAATTTGGAATCTATTGTGTAACTGCAGCTGAGAAGAAGTATTCTGAGGAGGCTTCCGGGTCCTATGTCTCTTTCTAAGGGTGACATTCCTCCAAGCCTGAGGGTTGTCCACATCTGAGGTGATCTCCTCTTGAGCCTCCCCATATTGTTAGTGTGATATGGGCTGCGTGTCTAGGACAGTGTGCTGTGTGGTGTCTAAGAACAGCTCAAGTTCCTGAATGTCCTTAAGGGTCTTAATACGGTCCTCGAGTTGTTGGATCCTCTGTTCCATGTGAGTGATCTGTTTACACTTGGGGCAGATGTAATTGAGTAATTGTTGCGTGAAAAAGCTGAACATGCCACAGCTTGTGCATGAGACAGGAAGATTTCGTGTTTTTTCCATCTGCAGCTTGCTAATTACCTCCTCTTGGTGTGTGTTTTATGTTGTTGTCTGTATTCAGGGGGAAAGTGTAGGTTAGTGAGTGTGTGGCTTATATAGGGTAAACAGGAAGCAGAACAATGAGCCACTAATTGCTGGCCTGTACTGCTGGCTAAAAGAATGTAACCTCGCCCCGCCTCTCAAGCAAAGCAACACTCAAAGCAACTAATTTTAAACACCCACTCAGATTCCTAGTGCCCTCTAAGACAAGGCTTACCTGAAGCAGAAGGGAACAAAATGGCTTCTTGCTTCCTCAACTTCTGTGGGAGCACGACTCCCCCCAGGCACACAGAAGACGAGGCAATTTGGAAGGTGCTGAGCAGACTGTGTTCTGGCACCACGAGGTGCAGAGCCAACCTTCAGAAATGGGGCCTCAAAGCAGAGTCCACAACATGTGAGTGCCAAAAAGAACAAACCACAGGCCACCTATCACAATGCAGCCTGAGCCCTGGCACATGCACAATGGAGGACCTTCTCACAGCAACACCAGTTGCACTCCCAAGTGGCAAGGTTATGGTCAAAGGACATTTAGTACAATGCCAAGTTTTTTTAACTTTGTGGTTTTTCTATTCATTATAACTGTATTCTTAATTTGTTTCTGACACGATAAATAAAAATGGGTGGGTGGATGTAGAAATTGATGGATAGGAAGGTAGTAAGAAAGATAGTGGACTGGTGTATAGGTAGATAGGTAGGAAGATCATGGATGTATAGATGTAGAAATGGGTGGATAGGCAGGTAGGAAGAAAGATAATGGACTGTTGGATAGATAGATAGATAGATAGATAGATAGATAGATAGATAGATAGATGAATAGGTAGGTAGAAAGGAAGGTGATGGATGGATGGATAGGTAGGAAGATCATGGATGGATGTAGAAATAGATGGATAGGCAGGTAGGAAGAAAGATAGTGGACTGGTGAATAGGTAGTTAGGAAGGAAGATCGTGGATGGATAGATGTAGAAATGGGTGGATAGGCAGGTAGGATGAAAGATAGTGGACTGTTGGATGGATGGATGGATGGATGGATGGATGGATGGATGGATGGATGGATAGATAGATAGATGAATAGATAGATAGATGAATAGGTAGGTAGAAAGGAAGGTGATGGATGGATGGATAGGTAGGAAGGTAGGAAGATCATGGATGGATGGATGAATTAATGAATTAATGAATGAATGAATAGGTTGGTAGAAAGGAAGATGGATAGATAGGAAGGAAAGGAGGAAGATCATGGATGGGTAGTAGGTAAGTAGGGAAATGATTGTTGGATGGCTAGACAGATACATAGTTAGATAAATACTTGTATAAATGGATACCAGCTGTTCGGAATTGTCCAAAACACCTGGAGGGAGGGCCGAAGTTGGCCCAGGGCTGGTTTCGACTGTGGGCTCTCTATTCATTTCTCTCTTTCCTTCCCTTCTTTCCCAGCATGCCTTGCGACTGCTTGCTTTCCACCAAATCCACAGGGTCCTGGGCATGGATCTGTTGGCGCCAGCAAAGCACCGGATAGGGATGCCCAGCTGGAAAAGGCAGCGGAAGGTGGAAGAAGAGGAGGAGGAAAAGGAAGGGAGTGAAGGGAACAACAGCAAGAAAGACAGGATGGAGGAAGAGGAGGAGAAAGCGGAAGAGAGCAACGCGGTGGCCAAGAAGGGAGCTTGACCCACCTGGCAGCCGTCATACACTGCTATGTTTTCTTTTATATATATATAGAGAGAGAAAGCGCATATAAATATGTGTGTGTACATGCATTGATTTGCTGTTTGAGTTTCACATTCAGGTTGTTTTCGTGTATTTCTTTTCCTTCCCTTTTTTGTTTTGTTTTTTTGAGAAGGACGAACTGTACATGGTTTTAATGCTGTTGTTTGGCGGATTAAAGGGATGCTATTCCTTCCACCAGCCTCGCCTGTCCTTCTGCGAACTGGGAAAGAGCGAAAGAAAAAGACAGGTAGACAGAAAGATAGAGAGATAGAAATGAAAGAGAAAGAGGTGGAAAGATAGAAAGAGATGGAAAGAAAGCTACCGGTTGTTAGGAATTGTAGGAGTTGCAATCCAAACACATGGAGGGCCCAAGCTTGCTCATGCCTGGTCTAGGTGGCCTCTGCAGGCCCCCACTGTGCCCCTTTGGAGGTTTCAAGGTGAGCGTGCACCAACGCCAACCGTGCGAGGTGGACCGGCTGATGGACAGCAGCTTAAGACCTATTTCCGTGGAGGCCGGCCTAATCCCTGGATCTTCTCTCCTCAGTGGCGCTAAGCCCGGGCAACCCTTTTAAATTACACTGCGGATTGGATTCGAGGGCAGCAAACAAGAAGGGAGACCGTGCTGCGACTTGCAATTAACGCTCCCAAGTCACACCTGGAAAGGGGAGAGGGCAGGGGTCACACGCTCTTGGTTTCGCTGCAAAGGGGGAGCAATAGGTTGGGGCTGCAAGAGACCTGGGTTCTGAACTCCCTTTGCATAGCCCTTGGGTCACATGCTCTCAGCCTCAGAGGAAGGTCAAAGTCTTCCCTCCCCAAAACAAGGCTCCCCATTGAACCAGAGTTGAATTGGAGGCCTGCAGTACGTTTGTTCTCCAGCTTAAGTAACTTCCAAAGCTGTTTTCTCATATGGAGTCTCTTGGGGCAGAGGAGAGAAGTCCCATGTTTTTCTCATCTCAACGTTTTATTCCTCCTTTCTTTCCTTTCTCCCTCTTTTTTCTTTCCTCCTTTCTTCCTCTTCCCTCCCTTTCTTCCACACTTCTGTTCTTCCACTCTTCTTCCCCTCCTTCCTTCCTCTTTCCTCCCTTCTTCCTTCTGTCCTTCCTTCCTGTCCTTCCTTCCTGTATTTCCTTCTTCCTCCTTCTACCTTCCCTCCCCCCCCATTTTCCTTCCTCTTTCTTTCCTCTTCCCTCCCTCCTTCCTTCTGTCCATCCTTCCTGTCCTTTCCTCCCCTTTTTCCTTCCTTCCACTCCCTTCTTTCTTCTCCTATTTCCTTCCTCCTCCTTCCTTCTTCTACCCTCTCCTTTCTCTTCCTCCCTTCCTCCTTCCTTCCTCTTCTTTTGTCCCTTATTTATTTCCTTCCTTCCATCCATCACCTCTTTTCTTCCTTCCCCTATTTCCTTCCTCTCCTTTCCCCTTCCTTCCTTCCTTTCTGTTGCCCTATTCTAAATCTCTTCTTTCCCCCTCCTGGCAACCCRATAGAGCAGGGGTCCTCAAACTAAGGCCCYGGGGCCGGATGCGGCCCTCCAAGGTCATTTACCTGGTCCTCGCTCAGGGTCAACCTAAGTCTGAAACTACTTGAAAGCACACAACAATAACAACAATCCCATCCCATCAGTCAAAAATAGGCCCACACTTCTCATTGAAATACTAATCATTTTATGTTTGTTGAAATTGTTCTTCATTTTAATTATTGTATTGTTTTTAAGTGTWTTTTGCACTACAAAAAAGATATGTGCAGTGTGCATTGGAATTCATTCATGTTTTTTCCCAATTACAATCCGGCCCTCCAACAGTTTGAGGGACTGTGACCTGGCCCTCTGTTTAAAAAGTTTGAGGACCCCTGCCATAGAGTGAGCTTCCCTTGGCCGGCTTTGTGGCTTAGACTGTGTGCCATTCATGTTGGGCTACCTGGCGCCGTTATTGCCACCCGTTGGCCCCACTGCTCTCCTTGGGAAATTGCTTAATGAAACAACAAGCTAATTAATAGGGCCTGATGGGATTGATTACGGCCAGCCAGGCAGAACTGGAGGCCCTTTTGTCCTCTTTCCTTCCTTCCTCCTCCGAAGGAGCCCCACTCCTCACTTGCTTGCTTTCCAGCTCAGGCAGAGGCAGAATGGAGAAGAAGAAGAAGGAGAAGGAGGATGCTTGAATGCTGCGGCCCTTTGGCCAGGAAGGGCCACCCCAGAGAAGGCCCTGCCCAAGGACAACACCTGCCCAAAGCGTTGCTGTATGTCACCCGAAGGATTACGGCCACTGAGCACCACAGATGGGCCAAGGAAGGAAGGCGCAGGACGTAAGCAAAGCCATTGGGGGAAGCGCGTCCTGCTGTTTCCAGGGCATTACAATTATTATTATTATTATTATTATTATTATTATTATTATTATTATTATTATATATTTATTTATACTCCACTTTATTTCTCCCCAAGGAGATTCAAAGTGTCTTGACATAAAAGTATTAGCATACCATTTAAATAATAATAATAATATACTATTATTATATATTATATATATTTAATTATTATTATTATATTTATTTATATCCCGCTTTATCTCCCCAAGGGGACTCGAAAGTAGCTTGACATAAAAACTTCTCAAATCCCTCTTTTTCTGGGTTTGGCAGGGCCAACATTTGGGGATTTCTTCTTCCCAGTCAACTTTCAATCCTGAGTTTTGCTTTGTATTTTATTCCCACAATGCAGGCCATCTCTAAGTTACAAACATCCAACTTGCAAATGACTCCTAGTTAAGAACGCAGGCGCTAAGGCCACAGGAAGGTAGAGGAATTTTATATATTATTATTAGTAGTAGTACTGTAGAGTCTCGCTTATCCAATCTTCGCTCGTCCAACGTTCTGTATGATCCAACGCTGTCTGCCTCCCGCCCGGATCAAAAGCTGTTTCAATACATTGCGATGTTCTGGTGTTAAATTTATAAATACAGTAATTACTACATAACGTTACTGTGTATTGAACTGCTTTTTCTGTTGATTTGTTGTAAAACATGTTTTGGTGCTTAATTTGTAAAATCATAACGTAATTTGACGTTTAATAGGCATTTCCTTCATCCCTCATTATTATTCAACATTTTCGCTCATCCAATGTTCTGCTGGCACATTTATGTTGGATAAGCGAGCCTTAGTAGTTTTCCAATGAATCATAGAGTCTGGACCAGTTGCAACAAAGTTCATGGCAGCCACAAAAACAACTAACTTTCTGGAGTAGAATAACTACTTTCAAAACAGGAACAGATTTATTTTAAAATTGTTACATAGTGTAATTATGATATAATAATAATAATAATAATAATAATAATAATAATAATAATAATAATATGGTGATGGTGATGCTTATATAATGATGACAATATAATGATGAGGATGGGGATGATAATAATACGATGATGTTGATATAATGGTGATGATAATATAATGATGAAATTAATAGTAAAGGTAAAGGTTTTCCCCTGACATTAAGTCCAGTCGTGTTCGACTCTGGGGGGTTGGTGCTCATATCCATTTCTAAGCCAAAGAGCCGGTGTTGTTCGTAGATACCTCCAAGGTCATGCTTGACTTGCAGACAATTTTATGGTCCAGAAGGTAGAAAGGGCAACAAGGGGATCAGCTACTTTCAATCTCATCCTAACAAACGCGAAGGACCTAATCAATGCAGTTGAAGTGGTTGGATCCTTAGAGGCAAGTGACCATGTGCTCCTGCAGTTTGAGATACAAGGGAAGGCCGAAACTAAAACAAGTCAAACCTGCATTTTGGACTTTAGTAGCGCTGACTTCCGAAAAATGAAGGAAATACTTAGCAGCATTGCATGGACACAGATACTAAAAGACAAGGGAGTTACGGATGAATGGGAGTTTTTCAAGAGTGAAATACTCAAGGCACAATTGCAAACAGTGCCAACAAAGATAAAAATAGGACAAGTGCAAAGAAGCCAGAATGGATGTCCAAAGAACTTCTAACTGTGCTAAGACTTAAAAGAGACTTGCACATAAAGTGGAAAAAGGGAGAAATCACCAAAGAAGAATTCAAACGAATAGCCAATTCCTGTAGGAAAAAGGTTTGTAAGGCTAAAGAGCAAAATGAGCTCAGGCTTGCCAGGGACATTAAAAATAATAAAATGGGCTTCTTTGCTTATGGAGCACCGTTATCCACTATGATAATAATAATAATAATAATAATAATAATAATAATAATAATAATAATAATAATAATAATATAATGATGATGATGTAATGATGGCAATAAGATAGTAATAATAATAATAATAATAATAATAAGATGATGATGATGATGATGATGATGATGATGTTGATATAATGATAATAATTATGATGATATAATAATATATTGATGGTGATAGTGATATAATGAGGAGGAGGATGACAATATAATGGTGATGATGATGATGATACAGTGATGATTGTGCTGATGCTGCCTCTGTCTCTCTCTGTCTCTCTCTCCTTGCAGGAAAGGCCTCCTCCTCCTCCTCCCCCTCCTCGCCTTCTCTTTCTCTCTCTCTCTTCTCTGGACGTGCCGCCCTGATCGGCTTTGGGGTGCCTAAGGCGCTTATTCCCGGGTAAAACTGTCATCGGCGTGAAGCAAAGCCCTGTGATACTGGGGCCTGGCACCTCTTGAGCCAATTTGCCTTCAATTAGGGTAATTGAGAAACGAGCAAAGGAGGGTAGCATTAATATTTTAAAGTGATGAAGTGATTATCATCCTCGGGAACAGGCTCAAGCACCCACAACAAGGCAAGGCAAGGGAGGGGGGAGAACGGGGACCGCCCTTGCCACCTCCAAAAGCCATTATCCTAATTTGTTAAGTAATCACTCCTCCCGCCCCCACCCTCCCTCCCTTCTTCTAGCCATCCGTTTTATTCTTCCTTCCTTCTGCCCATCAGCACTTTTCTCCATCCTTCTTTCTTCCTGCTCCCCTTCCTTCCATTTATCCATCCATCCATCCATCGCCAATTTTGTTTCTTTCAGTCATCATAAATTTTATCCTTCCTTCTTTCCTTCAGTTGTAACCTATCTATTGGCTATTTTGTCTTTCTGTTCTTCCTTCATGAATTGTATCCTTCCTTCTATCCATCATCAGTTTTACCCTTCCTTCATCAGTTTTTCCCTTCCTTCCTTCCTTCCTTCCTTCCTTCCTTCCTTCCTTCCTTCCTTCCTTCCTG